CGCTTAACAGCAGTACTGGTAACCTTTTGAACATGCAAGCGCGGTATATATATTACTGAACCAAGGAGTAAATGACCATAAAAAACACTCCAAAGAAAACACACTAACACCTTAGTTAATAAACTAAAATTGACTTGTCTCATACTTGAAACAGGGTTTGTTGCTTCTCAAACTAGCACAGCATATAATGATTAAAGTGTAAATGACAGACTCCGAAGCAAAAACATTGCATTCATGTCTACTCAAAAAATTGATCGACTTTATAGTTAACGGGAAAAACTTAATTACTCCTCAAAAAGCGCAGTGTATACTGCTCAACGAGTAATGAAAAAGATAAGAGATTTCAAAACACACTTATTTCCACTCAGAGTAAAAACTTTAGCACTCACAGTTCTTACTAAGATTCGTTTATGTCACACTTTTACACACTCTTAAACAGGCGCCGATTTAGCCCGACTCAGGATGACGGCTAATGCTTGAAGTGGTCTGATGGTTCCTCAGGTGGTGTTTGGCTGTATGTGGTCGCAATCTCACGACTGAAGAGGTTTATATTCTCTCCAAAGCCCATTTGAAAATGCCAAACGTACAGCTTGGTATTCGGTGGGATTTTCAGCTTCAGGGTTTCTTCTTCTTCAGTGGTTGCACTCCACTTGAGCTTCTCTGTGTCGACCATCTTTCCGCCAAACTTCTCTTTGAGGCTATACTGAACTTTACAGAGACCTTTAAGCAATTCTGAAGCTTGGGCTTTGATTCCAACTTCTTCGCTTACTCCCATCTCGATGGACCATTCCAACTCTATGGAGGACATTTTGCTCCTGTCAAATCCAACGGTTTTCTTGAGTTTTTGTTCCCATTCAATGGCAGTCTTGGAGTCGTTTTGAATACATTTTACTTCTTTCCAATTCCCGAACACTTTTCCATGGATGTGCGCCATACCACCGGGGAGAAACTTGAGTACTGACTCGTGAACGGTGACGTTGTCAGCATCCTTGTTCAAGTTCATGTTGGTGCTTCTGTGATAGGTGACACCCCATTTTCCAGCCTGCTTCAGACAGTAGACATAATCATTGGTACCCCAGAAATAGATGCCATCTTGGAACGCTTGATGGATTTTGTACTCAACGGCGTCTTCATCTTTGTTCATGTTACTCACTCGTCTGTAGGTGCCTCTGTTGGTAAACATGATGTACCAATAACCAAAGGCAAAGTAGTAGCCGCTTCCTCCGCGACAATTGCGATGAAGAGAGTAAACCACAGCTTCCTCGTCTTTACTCAGGTCGGTGACTCTGCGATACTCATCTCCTTTAATGATGTAGAAATGAGAGTCAGTGGCCAAGTAGTGATCGCCCCATCTACAGGCCTCACTTAGACGGTGAATCTTGATATCTTTTCCCTTGGAAATATCTTCGCACCTCATGTAGACACCCACATCAGAACGGATGATATAGAAGCTGTTTTTATCACCACAAAAGTCTGTTCCTTTAGCCTCAGGTGCACTTTTCGGCACGATCTCCGGATAATCTGAATTGGCAGACATATTGTCGACTTGGTGGTTGCAGCTGATAAAAGCTTTCTTCTTGAGTATCTGCAAAGAAGGCAATCCAAAGGGAAAAGATCGGGCTTTTATGGACGCTGAATTTAATTATGGCTTGTTCGTTAGTGGAGGGAGGGGCAATAGAATAAAATGTTTCAACTGTGGTTTTCATTGTCGTTATTCTTTTGCTTGAAGGGAAGTCGTTGTGGTTAGAATGACTTCCGCAATGCAACACTAAGCATTCGAAAATGTGATGTCAATTCATTGTTCGAATATTGACAAAATTTTCCTTTTTCTTTTGTGGACGTATCCAAGAAGGAAGCAACTATACTTTGAACGTAGTTTAACCGAGCAGATTTCTTGGACCGTGAAAGTTTTTGAAAATTCCGTAAAATGAGACTCGTACTATATAAGAATGTGCCGCTGAATTAACTGCCAAATTTGTCTCTGCAATTTAAATGAGGAGTGGTTTATCTGCGGAAGAAACACATCTCGCACAGCGAAACAATGTTACTCTATTCTATGAAAAAAACTTCTTCCTGAAGTAACTCAGATACTGAGCTTCACAGCAAGTTCTTATACCTTTGACCTTTCATAAGTGTTATTTGCGTGATCGGTCCCAAGTACACATTTCCCATCACGTCAAGTGGGTTATTTACATACAGGAAGCTAAATTTCTAGAAGAAATTTTCTTTTGTTTTCGGAATGATTAAAGCGTAACAAAATTTGGGTCTTAGAATGTGCTTTTCGAAGAAGAAGGAAGGATGTTCCGTGCATTGATACATCTGCAAAAGAAACACATCTCGTACAGCAGTGGGAAACAATGTTATTCTATTCGATAAAGAAGTAGCATCTTCCTGAAATAGTAACTCAGAAACTGAGCTTCACAGCAAGTTGTTCCACCTTTGACCTATGATAGGTTTTATTTCATATTTGCGTGATCAGTCTTAAGTACACATTTCCCATCACGTTAAGTGGGCCATTTGTAAACAGGAAACTAAATTTCTAGAAGAAATTTTCTATTGTTTTCGAAATGATTAGAACGTAACAAAAATTTGGGTCTTAGAATATGCTTTTCGAAAAAGAAGGAAGAATGTCCCGTGCATTGATACAAAACACTTCTTTTGGTAAGATTTTCTTGCAGTACAAGATTGTTTTGCATAACTGTGACTTATAGTAGCTTTAAGCGTTCCTAGTATTCCTAGTTACGTGAAAGGAAGCAATTAAAATGGTGCAGGACGCTATCTTTTGTCGAGACCGACTGACCTATGACCTTTACATTTTTTCCGCACTGGGCTGTTTCACGTTCCCATGGAATCTCAAAAAACCGGTTTGTTTGCAGTACTCTTTAATCATTCCTCAATATCTTTTACAACGATTCATCGACATAAGACATGTAGCAATTGCCGTGTTAAAAGATGACTACTTGATTGATACATCGCTAACGTGAAACAATCGCCTTTGTCATGATGATATCACATCCATCAAATTTTAGCTGTCTATTGGCGTATAAAACTGCCTTGAAAGTCGGCATATGAAATCATTCCTGTCAATTGAAAGAGTCTAACGCACTCCACTTATAATTTTTTTGCAGTTAGCTTCTTTAAAAGAGATTTCAGATGATTTACAAGACTCACAGCGGTCGAAAAATTGTTGCAAGTTTGCATTTACGAAAGTTAGTCAAACTGATCAGATGTCTCGAACTGCGTAACATCTCAAACACTCAGTAAATTAAACTAAATTTCAAATAAAAATTTGTTGCATAATCAAATGCAATAAACATTTATACATATACAGAGCGGGCTGACTGAGTTTTTACTTTTACAATTTTTCCGCATTGGTCTGTATGTTTCACTCTCGCTTAGAATCACTGCAGTAGAAAAACTGTTTGTTTGTGATACACTTTAATAATTATTTCCTTAGCATCAGTAGCCGAAGAGAAAATGATGGGACTTGAAGACTTAGTAGCCTTGTTAACAACATGACCATGAAATATCACATTGGCATATGAAATCACTTCCATACATTGAAAGCGCCTGCAGTCTGGTCCATTGCACACATATTTTGCTACCTTTAGTTTCTCCAAAAAAGGTTTCAAAAGAGCCACCGAGTCGTGTAAATTGAGGCAAGTTAATGAATGGAAGTTGATTACTCCTCAGTGTTCGTTACAATGAGTTCGCGATATGAAAACGCATCCAGCGGTTGGTTTGCCGAGCTGAAACACTGATGCTTATACACTCGATTGCAAAAACGTTGACACCTTGAAAGCATAAACCGTGAACGATGAGACCCGACGGATTTGTGGGTAGTGTTTAAACAATAACCTCATTTCCATCATGATAATCAATAATTTACTATTCTTATTCTTTGCAATAAAAAATACATTGCTGGAAAAAAAAAGTATGCCCAAAGCATACTAGGACGATTTACGTTTAAGAGCTGTATGGCTTCATGTGTTCCTTGGTTATAACATTGAGGATACATCCGGTATGCTGGCAATGTCACCAAGCTCGGTAAAGAGATTCAAATTTGTGCGCACGGGTGAAGTTGTGGCCAAGAAAACTGGAAGACCTTTGGATCTGGTTGGAATGCACCCGCGTGAGGAGCTCGTGATGATGGAAGCTATGCTAGAGCACCCAGAGAAGACACTGACTGAGATTGTAAGAGAAATTATGACTGTATTCGGAAACCGTTTTCAAGTGTCGACGGTTTGCCGATACTTTCAAAGAAACAGCGTTACAAGAAAACGGGTAAGCAGTTATCGGCAGGATTATTATAGACCTTTTAATGTGGGGATATTTGTTGACTCAGAAGAATAAATAGCTTTGTTTTTGCACAACAAGCCTCGGCCAGACGCGAATTTAGAGAGAGGTTTGCTTTGCAAAAACAAAGCTTTTTATTCCCATGAGACTCGACATGGCCGCCAAGTGACAAAGGCCAATTAACTATGATAGGATTGACAGGGAAAAAGTGCCTCTGCTCGTGCCTTTTTCATATTTCTTCACGCGCCAGTCTTTGCCAATCAACAACGTCAAAATGATCAAATTTACGTTTTTTTGGAGAACACGAAGACATGACAGTTTCCTACCTATGAACTTTAAACTCGAGTGAAACCTCAGTAACAAAAAACAAATTATGCGTAATGGAAAAATATTAAAATAAAAAGTAATTTAAAAGAAGGAGGTTTGTTTTTTTTAAGTGGCGCTTTTGTCTCTGTTGTTGCCGTGGTGGTAACTGAACTGCCCATTATTCCAATCAATTTTGTCACCATACTGTCCGAAAATGAAGTCTGATCAGTGAGGGCACATTTTATCCTCCACCTTCAACTGAACACCAAGTTTAAGCTAAAGTCCCCCCAAACTAACACTAGTGTAACTATTTTTTCCAGCTTAAGAAAGTTGCTCGACAACAAAGTGAATTGGCGAACATCAATTTTCGTGCGGATACTTGTCTCCTACATGCAGAGATGTTTGTCTTTCTTGATGAAAGTGGATTTGTAAGTATAACTCAAGGAAACCTTATTTTCACTTGTCTTTACACCCCTTTGTTTTTGAAGATTAGAGGTATGTTTTATTCTTTTTAAGGATCGTCGACTTACAAGAGGATTTGGCTACAGTTTCCGAGGTTATAGTGCCAAAGTGAAAAGGAAGCATACAAATTGGCATCCACGAATTACAGCCATCCCAGTTGTATGCACTGAAGGCTTGCTTGAAATTGGTATTCATAGAGGAGCAACAAATGGAGATGTCTTTCTTCAGTTTGTTAATGAGAAGCTTGTCCCGAACCTTCTGCCTTTTAACGGTGCGAATCCTCGCTCCGTAGTTATAATGGGTATGACATAAATCGTTTAAAGATTTTTTAGACCATATTATAGATTTAAGACAATTTTTAATTTGTCATTGTTGTTCTCAGATAATGCAGCCATACATCATTCACAACGTGTTGTTGATGCAATAAACGCTTCCGGTGCACTCCTTATTTTTCTTCCACCTTACAGTCCGAATCTGATGCCTTGTGAAGGAGTGATCGCACTGGCAAAGAGCTGGATACGAGAAAACGACCTGGTTTGGGAGCAGTGTGATGAACCAGAGAACATGGTTTTTGAAGCCTTTATGCAAATAGCTGATGAAGACATTGCAAACTACATTCGTCATTCTGAATACCTTTAATTACATGTACATCTATGAAAGGTGGTTTTACAAGAAATAACAGAAGAGTACGGCACGACACGCTGCCCATTATTATCACATTAATTTTTTTAAATTTTATTTTCTACGCGGCTTCACAAGTTTCCTGTATTCGCGTTTCCCTTTATTCGAAATAATCAATCAGAATAATTTAGTCGATTTTATTTAGCTCATTAACTAATTTTGCGCGTTCTTTGTCGAATTGATCTCTTGTAGTGATTTCTTTATCAAACAGATCCTTCAGTTGTGCAATCTGGTTATAGATCATACTTCGTAAACGTAGCTGTGGAAAATGAAGAAAAATAAATTACATCAGTAAGGAGTGCAATTTTCTCTTGTTAAGTAGAGGTGACGAGTGTGCTTTCAAAATTTATGGATCTCGAGCGAAAGATTTAAAAGAAAACACGCCGGTTTCAGAGTTTTGTTGTTGCAATTAATGGCAGCAATTGCAACGACAAAAAATCACTCTCCAGGATTGACTCGCGCTCTTTGTTCGCAAGGTGGAGTATCAAGTGAGAGAGTTACCTTTTCCTCAGCACTCGAAATTGAGTTTAATGTTGTTTCTTTCGTTGAAGACTGAGCTGAAGAAGATGAAGGTAGGTCAACCGTTGAACAGCTGGCTTTATTCCTCCCGGTAAAGAAGGAAACCTGAGGCATTTCATCCTCGCTGTGATGAGTTTTATTTACCTGTAGTAATAATAAAAAAAAAACAGTCAAGGCATACAATTGTATTTTTTGTCCATGAACAATGACGGGCAAAGTTTGTAATTTAAAATAACAAATGTACGCACATGCTTTTAAAATATGTAGTTTTTGAAGAGCCAAATTCAAATATTGGATTAATTTTTTCTATTTTACCAAAAGAAATTTTTTTTATGTCCAAGCTTACCAACATTTTTGCCCAACATTTCAGTTTAAAGTCCGCTAATGTTCCTCCGTGTTTTTCTCGCAGTCGCGCGAGTCTGTTTTCGTAGGAGTCATGGTCGTCCTCTTCCATACTGTCACCGCCGTCGATAGTGTCGTCTGAATGAAAAACAAAAAAGGAGGACATTGTTTCCATTAAACATTGAGTAATTTTGTAACAAGCGGGAAAGACAGGCAATATGGTTTTCCATTCATACCTGAATTTCTCTTCCTCTTTGCTTTACCGGCTTCCCTTCTTTCTATCTCGCCCTGTTTTCGTTTGAAGGAACTGTGTGGATCCACCCATAGGGTGATCCATCCATTCTTTACACTTTTGTAGGCGTCGTCCAACTGTTTTTCTCTTTTGATGTCACATTTTCGGCGCCCGTCACTCATGTAGCCGATAGTTAGCGACGCGCAATTAGAAGCGGGACTTAATTCTTCTGAATAATTTTCAAGTAAATATTGCTTTAGTGCATTGACGGATATGAACTTAGGCAAATATCGGATTGAATATCGCTCAAATTGGCCCTTGTTGGCCAGCTTAGACACTTTTAGGAAAGCTTGAACCGTTTCCATCACTGACCACGTGCAACTAATTTTGGTTATCAACCGTGGTACGAGAATAGAATATTATGCAAATAAATTTAGTACACGTATACCCATAAAGCCATTGGGTCTCATCGTTCAAAGTTTATGCTTTCAAGGTGTCAACGTTTTTCCAATCGAGTGTATTCAGTCGTCGTGCTCTGATTTGATTCTAGCGCACTCGGTAAAACGGTACCCCCCGCTTGTGAGAACATTAGAATACAGTTGACTTGTCTCACACTTCAGTGCAATTTTGCTGCCTTTGAAGCATGTGTGGCATATCCTGGTAAACAAGTAGTTGAAGCTACAAAGTAATTTTCAGACCACTCTTATGTCAGTCGTGTTAGCTTGAAGTGCACGTCGCTTCACAGGAAAGCGTAGTATATTCTGGTAAACGAGTGAATGAAGACGTACAAAATTTTAAAATACTCTTATGTCTGGGCGAAGAAAACTCTACAGCAATCACAGTTCTGACAAGAATTTACTCGTGTCACTCTTAATAAATTTTATAGACAGGCACCAATTCACTAAGCTACACTATATGCATGACTATTGAATAAAGCAAAGTGATGGTTACTAAGGCTGTTCTCCATCTTGTGTAAGCATGATTTAAGGGCTAAATAGATTCTATTCCTGGTCAATACCCAGTTCATACTGCCAAATTTGATTCTTCGGTGGGGCGTTATTTGCATCATAATCAAGAATTGGATTTCTCAGCGTTGTTTTTCATTCTAGCTGCCAAATCTAGACTTTGTTGAATGCTGCATTTCAATCAACGTGATAGAAACCCGCCGATTTAGCTTCTGAATGAAGCGAAGAGAATAAGTCTCTTTCAGTCGCTAAGTCGTACCGAGTCAATTAATATGAACTGAGCAGTTTTTATTTACTGCGTTAAACTCTTACCAAGATGATGAATATCTCTCTCGCATATTTCAAATGTTACCCTTAAATCAGCCAATGATCCCCTGCAAAGAAGAAACATAGGCATGCTATGCATGCAAGAGTAATTTTTTGGGGGGTGGGTGGATTACTTGAAACATTGTAAGTGATGTCTACATTCTTACAAAAGGAAAGAAGAGTATTAATGCGGAAAAGAACGAAAATGTCGGATTAACTCACACACAGGTAGTCGTGGTAGATTGTGTGTGTTGTGCGAATAACTGTAACCAAAAATAAACTGTATTGGTGCCACGGATACCTGTTAGTAAAAAATGCAGACTGCAGACCGGATAAAAATGTAGACTAGGTACTTAATGTAGACTGCAGACTGCAGAGTGGGTACAAAACGCAGACTGACAATCTAAAGAGTTTTTTCGTCTAGTATGTGAAATAATATGTCATCTTACCGAGCGTCACGCAATCGCATTTCCGCGATCAGCTTTCACGATTATTTGCACTATTTTGGAATATTCCTAGCCCATTTCATGATGAAAATCGATCGTTACATAATTATAAGCCTTCATATAGTCTTCTCACTTTGCGCGCGAGCTGGTTGGTTTGATGTCTGTACAGATTTTACCAACGTAATAAAAGTAGATGTAGATTTAAACGAGATGTCACTATTGAATATTTAACACGCGTAACATTCGAGAAACAATTGACAGCTTTGCACATGGTCCGTAGTATCATCTTTTTTAAGCGGAATGTGTTTATTTTGTTGTCAAAAATGCGAACCGAGACCAAAACTGTTCCTTCGACTTGATATATTTTCGACGTTAGTAGATCACGTCATATTAACTAACCCTCGTAAATCACTCATTCCACATAACAAAATCAAATAAACATGCTAACGAATTCGTCCTTGGCCACACACAAACGACTCCACAAGACCACTTTCTCTCAGGCATCGAAAACATTAACAAAATCGTCTACAGTTAATTTTAATCAGACACTCATCTAGAGATAGCACCGAGCAAACCAATCCAGAAAAATATAATCGGTACACTCAACAAATCATAAATCTTGCAACAAAGCTTGCCGTTAAAGAATTGCTAAAATAAAAAAATTAAGTGTTTTAATAAAAGAAAAGACTCAAAAATGGTATAAGGAGGGTTCGCCCCTTCTGCTTTTAGAAAATGAACATAAAATTCAAAACACTCAATGTGCCTCGTTGATCTTTCATCTCCGTAGAGATCACGAGGAACAATTTTTCCTCGTGTCTGGGCCTCTTAAAAAATGGAATGATATTGCGTTCTTTAAATTGCTCACGTGTATGGAATCGATGAATATACAATAAAAAATATCACGCTAAATAGATAAAAGTAAGTGTATTAGCGATTGAATATTTGAATAGAGAAAGATATCTTGCCGAACATTTTGTCCAGCGGTAATACCCCATTCACCATTTCAGTCCCCTCTCGGTCTTACTGAATAACTTAAAGTTCACTGCTCACTTAAAACATATAAGCTGCAATAATTTGCTGCCTATGTACCAACTATAAATATCTTCCGCTCGAACTGACGACGTTCTTTTGGTTTCTCTAAAAGGTATTTAAAATATTCCTTCTTTCGTTCTTTCTCAAGATCTTTTAAGACACAAAGTTGCATACTGATTACAAGTTCTAAAGGCAACTGGAATTACATACCAGCTTCTCATTACATTTTATTCTAGCCTAGAAAGAGAAGCTCATCAAAGTCCTGTCTAGTTTCTTTCATAATTTCTCGAACCTTTAAGTTTGTTTTAAACCTTATATTCATAAGATATTAAAGTGAAAAGTTTGTGTGTTCCATGTAACATCTGTCAAAGCAATGCTTATTTTAGGAGTAACTCCCCTTTACTTTTTGTTCCAAAACTAATTTTAAATAGTTTTGGTAAAATATCAAAATAACCCCGATTGGCGAGGAACAGACAATTCGAGTTCGTGTTTTCTTATTTCAGTTGTATAATTTTCTAATAAAAGCACCTTGAGGACTTTAAAATACAAAATTAAAATGTTTACTTCGTAATAACATTTGCAATTCATTGGCATTAGAGAAGTAAAAACCCAAGCCTAGGAATATAGCTTATAAATTAATCTTCCAACAACAAGAGAAAACTTGAAATTAAATGGCGGGAAAAGATGATATTCGTGTGTGCCATATGGCGCTTGCTTTTTCTTCACTTTTAGATCAGCATTTTATACAAGACATGAAGTGATCCTTAATTTAAAATTTTAATTTTTATCTTTTTTGAGTCATGACTTGAGTTGTAATTAGTACTTTCATCCGTTCATATGTTCATTGCGGTTAGATGACGACGTTGGTTTTACAAGTCATAAAACTGACATCCTCCACTTAAACTGTGTACTTTATGAATGAGGGCTTTCTTTGAAAGGCATGATATAAGGTAATTTTCCATGCAAATATTTTATGTAAAAGACTATTGTCCGATACCTGATACCAATGTTGTCAAACAGAGAATAATGCGTCTTGAATTGGCACGCAGTATCGGCGCGTGAGTTAAAAGATGCTAGTGTGCTTAATTTATTCTATAGAGTTTACGAAATGTCAACCAGAAGCGTAGAAAAATTCTTGGAGGCTGAAAATGCTTTTCAGATCGGTATTCGTAACTGCCTATTTCAGCTGTCTACTGCCAATTTGACCCGCCATCTGTATACTATCGTTCGTAAATTTATTCGACTTTTCTTCTGTCGAGCTTAAGCTTTGCATAAAAACAATTGAGGTTCAAATATCGATGACAGATCAACGAATAATTTTCAAAGCAAATAATCAAAAGAAAAGCATGTCTAAAACTGCCTGCCTAGATCATAAGTCCCTGAAAGCGAGTGGTAAAGTGTTTTGGTGCGTTTCAACCTCTACATCGTATTTTAGATTTTATAATTTTTAAAAAGTTGACAGTACGACGTCCGTGCTAGTAAGTGTGCATGTCATAACTGACACTACGTCTTATTGTGAATATTACCGTTGCTCATGAGTCCCAGAAAAGCATTGATAAAATTCTACCGGCAAACACTTCGTTCGCCTTGGAAGCGAATTTTCAGTAAGCCGTGCCACTGCTAGCAGGAAGGAGTCGTAAGAGTCGTAAGTGCTCTGTATCAATTCACGTGATAATGCATTAAAACGCTCTGGCGTCTTTTTGAAGGTTCCGAGTGAAAACAGATAAACTGAACAACTTAAAAGGATTTAGACTTTAGGGATTATTGAAAATTGTTTTAAAATATGTATCATTTACAGCAAAAAATGTGTATGTATTTATGAAGAGTACTGTCACTTAACAATTTGTATTAAAGAGAATTCAATTGATTAATTTGCTTCTTTCTTTCTTTTCTATTCAAATGTTCGCAGGTGATACAAGGAAAACACAGGAAGTTTTAACGTTATGGACATCAATTTACAACTGATTATAGCAGGAAGTTTATTTTTTGGGGTGAGTTACACCTGATACACCATGGATTTCTGTTTGATGGAATATTTTACACTTCTTGGCTATTACCTTTGTCCAAAAATGGTTGAAAAATGGATAGTAATAGAATGCTTTTCGAACAAAACCAAAGTACTCCCGAAGGCTAACCAGTGCTAAGGGAAAACGATTTAAAAAAAATGACTCAGAAAAAACCGAACACGCAGGAGTACTGAAGCGATTCAATCCGAGAGGGTGGAGTGCGGCGAGAAAAACCCAAATATGATATTGCCCTTCCCTATTTGCCATCTCGTGATATCATATTTCCGTATATAATTTCCACTTCAAAAAAGTTGTTTACTCAGCAGAATTTTCCAAGTAAATTAATCGTTGGTCACTTCACACTCTATTTTAAGACTTAAAATATTACCTTTTATGTTTTCAGACTGCTTTCCAATTTGGGAACGGTTCCGGAGAGTCAACCGAGAATATATCAGACCCGCGAGAAAATAGGGAGAAAGGTAATTAATTTTATGCTTGTCAAGTTACTGGTCTCCCAAAACCTTGAAGTTTCAGTGTAGCTCCACTTTAAGTCTTGAGAGCAAAAATATATTATTTTTCCAGAATCGTGTTTATCAAGGTGATCTTTGTTATTTTGCAGACTTTGATGTTCTTATGCACTGGAAACTAAATGGTGAAGAGCTGAACATAAGGTCGGTGAAATACAAGCCATATTTTATTACCACAAAAAAACAAAGCCTTGAGCATTAAGCATTGATTATATTTTCCTCTTGGTTTCTCTTGGGGAAATGCAAGAATTGGAGAACAAATGTAGATGTAATATTCATATTTACCATTATGTATCTTATAGCTACAGCGCTGTGAACTTAGAAAAAGACAGCAGGTGTAATGGAAGCAAGGCGCTGATATTTGGGCAGGAAGGAGAAAGTAGCGCGTCTTACGCTGAAATTCGGCCCAAAACAGATATCAGCGAAAGAGAGTCGTATACAATAATGTGCTGGATCAAATTGAAAAGGTACAACACAAAAACTGACTCCTATCAAGTCATTTTGGCAGATTTGACGACGCAAAAGTATATGTTTGCAATCATTCATGGCGGTAAGCTGTCCTTGAACAGCAGAGTCTTTGGAAAAAGTACCTTGAGATTAAAAGAAGCTCATGAACGGGTTCGTCTACATAAATGGGTCCATACAGCTGCGACTTGGGACGGTTATGAAATAAAATTGTTTGTAGATGGTAAAGAAATGGATGGGAACACGTTAGATTCTTCGTTGAAAAATGAAGGTTCCTTTGAGAGTGAAACAGCTTACATAGGAGGATACCCGGGGCTTCACCAGTTCAACGGATCAATAATGGATCTATTTGTCATTGGAACGGCACTCTCGCGGGCTAACATCATGAGCGTCTTTAAAGGTGAATTCATAAATAAGAAATTAGAAAAAAGATGAATTTGAATTTGATGGAGGCACTTCAAACCCAAACAACTTTCTTCCAGGTAGAACTTAGGGTTTTGAGTTTTGGTTGTTGTGGGGGGAGGGGCGGAGGGGCGGAGGGGGGGGGGGAAGTGAATTCGGGTATTCAATTCACCACTGTGCTGGGAGGTAGCTCTCGCATCTGTGCCATCCCTGCTTCTACAAGAACGAGATGGGCAAACGAAAGATCCAGTATTGGGAAACTGACTAGCCTGTGTTTTCCAACTGGGCAAACATTTCAATGAGTTCATTTAATGCATAGGTTGTGCAGGGATTGCACACGAACACTCGCTTACTGCTGTATCCCGGTTTTATTTTCCTGACCTCGAATCACAAACGAATTGAGTCTGTAGTCAATTTTCATTCTTGTTATTACCGCGGTTCAATTTCTGATTTCCACTCGTCATAAAATCAAATCTTAAAAACACTAAACAAAAAGAAACCTTGAGGGCGTGCCCCTTTTGAAATTAAATTTCCTCGTTTAACAAGAAAGGGTTCAGGTTGTAAGATCAAATGGAACAAATGTTCAAATTCGGTTTTACTGATTGGCTTCACCCTTTTGATACACTCGCCCACAAGTCTCATAATATTGAATGAAAGAAATCCAGCACTGAATATTCCCTCCTTAAGGTGTTCCACTGATGACGCAGAAAACCGTCAGTGTCCCAGGGAAACATGTCATGGTCAAGTGGAAGAGAATCTTTGAAGGACAGTGTCCTTCTGACAACTTCTTTGTATATTACAAAGAAGTAAACTCCACTCAATGGAAGTTCCGAAACGTGTCCAAGGGAGCTAATCAATATGATCTTGAGCTGGAGTGTTTTAGAAAGTATGATGTAGCTGTTACTGCCGAGAGGTCACAAAATAGTGAGAATGTAGAGGCTCCAAGAGATGCCAGCAATCATTGGAAGGTACTAACTGGACAAGGTAAGAAAACAAAATCCATCGTTCTCATTGGTCAAAAAAAGCGCTAATACCACGAGAGAAAAGTTTAAGGATACGGTAGACCTTCGACGGTCAATTTTATTTCATTTTATTTTTTTTCTATGGTAAACAAAGTCTTATCATTTTAAACATAGTTTCCAAGAAAAATGTAGGTAAAATGTTGAAATACGCGCGAGTCATTTACAAAATCGTATTTTTGGACTGAGGTTCGCAGCCCGCCAAAGTGTGTATAGCCAGTTATAACATGTTAAAATAAATGACTCCCCAAGGGTTTCTCGCGGCAAGGTCTACCTAACTTTAACGTATTATAATAATGGTGCAGTCAACGAAGTTACTCTTTCCTTTTCTAGATTTTCCAGAAATTTTGAATCACGACCCGGAGGTAAAGGGAAACTTAGTAACGGTGTCATGGTCACGCCTTGTAGACTGCGATGTGAAAAACCATATTCTCAGGTATAAGTATAAAAACGTAGAAGAATGGACAGAAAAAACTGAACAAGTTCCTGCGACGGAATTTAAACATACACTTAAACTGAAATGCCATAAAGTCTACCTAATTGCAGTCACCGCCAGGACGGCAGTTGGCGAGACGCCTCTAACACCTAGCAGTTGGTGGAAGGTCAAAACCGGACAAGGTAATTATAACTGGTCCTATAAGGTGTTAATAGTGTACCGTTAAAGAGTCTTAAAGTTCAAAGACTGTTGCCGGTCTATTCTGAGCTCGTGTTCTAGTGGGATCAACTGTTTTTGGTGGGTTGAGTTGGCTGAGCATTTTCGAATCCTACTGGCTAAAGGCCAAAATTTGATTAATCACTTTTCTGAGCCGACCTAAAACCATTATGAAGCAGTATATGATTTGAGCTCTGGAATACCATTAAATATTAAATCGTGCATCTGATCATCCAGACAAGAGGGACTGTTGTCGGTAGTACTGAATGTTTCGACAAATTGCTAAACTGCTACAGGTTGAAACGGTTTACAGTCAAGTCGCCCGAGAGTCATCTCGCACGAAGTCATGTCGCCCGAAACCTGAGTCGTGTTGCCCGAAATTTTTAGTTATATCGCCCGAAAAAAAAGGTCAAGTCGCCCGAAGAAACAAATACTAAAAAGATCAGAATTTCAGACTGTTAATAGGCAATAACGTTGAGAAATTTTTATCACTAAAGCACTCTTTGTTGCCGACAACACCATGAAGATTCTTAAAGCGCTGTTCGTTCCTAACAACAAGGGGAAACGTTGTTCGTTTCCAACAACAAAATGCAGCGTTGTTCGTTTGGTATGTAATCGTTTCTTACTCATGGACGTTTCGTAAGCTTGAGAAACTTTTTCTTGGTTTCTATCAATACCATGACTACACAGAAATCGATCATAAGTTCGGAATTGAAATATGTTTGAGTAACGATTCTAAAAGCGTGGTTCGTTTCTAACAACAAAGGGAAGCGTTCTCCGTTTCATACAAAAAAATGAAGCGCTGTTTATTTGGTACGTACTCGTTTCTTACTCACAGACGTTTCGTAAGCATGAGAAACTTTTTCTTGGTTTCTAACAAAGCCATGAAGACTTTGACTACACAGAAATCGATCATATGGTCAGAAAGGCCATATGATCGACCGTAATCATCGCACTATAGGCCTTGTTGACGTGGTCTAACTTCGTCATCACACTCAATGCAGGGATGAATGCTCATTTTGATTAGTTTGTATTCGTATTGTAGCTAGCATTACCCTTTTCATATATACTTTGATCGGATCAAAATATATATGCGACCGCCAGAGGAAACAGAGCACAACTACATAATTTTTGCCTGCTTGCAAAAATCTGATTCTGCAATGGACATTCCCATGGATCAACACGTTTCAACCGAAAACAGTTGGTAAATTGAGGAACTTTGAACGCTTCAAGGCAAACTGGTTTCAGTTGAAATTGTCGATTTTAATCGAACTCAACTTTAAGACATAATTGCAAACAGGAAGACAATCAAACAGGGTCGGAGAGACTGGTAGACGGGCGATAATCTGAACAAATGAAACAGGAGATAAACAGACAGAAGCACAGACGAATGAGCGACGGGCGGGCAAATCATTCGCAGTGTCTGTTTCATGCAATATTGATTTTCAATAACACTTTTTTTCTAAGACTTTCCGAAAATGAAAAAACCAGAGGTTAGGAAGAGCAATGTGACGGTCAGATGGGAAAATCCCTTCGTTGGCGAATGCAATGTTTCAAGGTTCACCGTGTACTACAGAGAAACAATGGAGCGTCAGTCTGTAAACTGGACAAAAGTTATAGTTTCAAGAGACGACTTCCAAACGACTCTTCAGTTGAATTGCACAACGGTTTACGAAATTGCAGTCACGGCATGGAGCTCACATGGAGAAACGCTGCTGGACGGAAACATAAAGAATACGCAGACTTTTGGAGGTACTCTGATCCCAGACCGTTTTAGATCAACTTGTTTTTCTTTCTTCGGCCCATTGAAAGCGAATGAACGTCCTTCTGTTGCCATTATAAAGTCCCTAATATCAACAGCAGTATGCAGTATGCAGAGATTCGTCCATGATCAGCTTGAACTCACAAGGGTTTACGAAACGGGATAAGTTTAACATGCGTGCGAACGCAGGAATGTCATCGATCGCAATAAATTTTCTCTCAACTAATTGTTTTTTTTTTAATTAATCGTATCCTACTCGCTCCAAACATTTTAATGTTTATGCTGCTCTAGGCGCTACACTTCACTGCAAGTATAAGTGTGGCAAGAGAAATTGACACATCTTAAGCCTGCGGTGGGAGTTTCCTTCTATGCCCCTTATTTTCTCTTGATACGCACCTCATTTCTAACCTCACTGGAATCAGATTTAGCAATTCAAGCTCTTAGCCGGAAAACATTATTCTGTGATGGTGTGATGCGTTACCTCCTCTTACAGATTCACCATCGCCTATTGAACACAGTTCAATCACAATTTTAGAAGACTGTAAAGTGAACATTTCTTGGAATCCCCCGAAGGACAATGGCTGCCCTTTAAAGAAGTACACAATTTACTACAGAGAGATTCCAGACTCATATAGCACGTGGCACGAAATAAGTATACCTGACGTCAGACGAACTCACAAAATTTTTCCGCTCAAGTGTGGTCAGCAATACCAGCTAGCACTGACTGCATCTAATTCTGCAGGAGAAAGCAAAATGTCACCTCCTTATAACATAATAACTACAGGTATTTCAAAGCGGTTTTTACGCATTTAATGTTTTTTCTATTTTACTTGAGAACCGTTTGAAATCGTTGACAAAGTTAATGAAAAAAAGATCTTGTTCCTTTCTTTTTACTCTTTTCCGACCCTTGATGACGAACCAACACAGTTTTGTACATTCCATGTTTTTCCCTCTCCTATCTTGAGAACGTGTCGGAGACTTTGTCAAAATCAATGCAAGGAAATTGTCTTGTTCCTTTTTCTTACTTTTATCCGACCGCCTATTATGACAAGGTAGGTTATTTTTGGCTGCAAACGAATTAATATGAAATATCAATTAGTCTCATTAGGCAAAACACCAATCACAAACGAAGGAAGTGGTAGTGGTACTGACGACTCCAACGTAGTCATTGCTGGTATAGTTAGTAGCTGTGTTGTAATTATCCTGCTTGTGTCCTTAACGATCCTAATCGCAAGATGGAGGAAAAAGAAAGCAAATTCTACCAGTGGAAGGTGAGGATTTTTTAACAACATTTTATTATGCGATAACAAGATCAAATAAGACTGACAATTTCTATGGAATTCTATTTGCCACAAACTTCCCAAAGAGTTATAAATGTTTTTCAGTCGAGCCCTTGACGATACTAATGAATTTAAGTCACTCTTACAACATATTCAACACATATTTCTTAGATCAGCAAAGTGGAAAATTGTCCACCTTCTCCACCAAGAGACCCCACCTCAGCGAGTGACTTTTATGGAAGAGCTTGGTCGTGGTGCATACGGAAAAGTCCACAAAGGTGTAATGATGAAAATTGCAAGCGTCGAGGTTTTTTTCAAACCCAAAGAAGAGAGACTGGATATCAGTGAAGGCATAGTTGTTGCTATTAAAACACCTCTAGGTAATTATTGCAGTCATAATTTGTTCCATTTGGAGCTGAACAATTCTGTCCGTTCTCCTCGCGGGTTCAATTTAAGCAAATATCGTGATCTGCATATGATTGCTTCCGACAAGTCACCCCGTTTTCGAAAAGGATGCAGGTATCCAAACGATGGCTTCACTTGTTTTTAGGCGTTTGTGAAATCAAATCAAATTTACGTATTTAACTCATCTCAACTAGCTATAGAGTGCCCTGATTGGATAAATCAATGCATTAAAAACAAAGATTAATATGTCAAAGCATTTACAGTGAGCGAGTAAAGACCATCAGAACAGAATGTAGTTACACTTAGAGTTTAAAAAAATTTCTATCAAACAGAAAGCATTCCTCAAATTGGAAAAGCCATGATTATCAATTATAAGTATAGTTTTCAAGCATGATAATTTAAGGGATTTTTTATAGAAATTAAAAGAAGATTTAGGATTTTTTTCTCAGCAGGAGATTTCAAAGGCAAGAACTATTAATTTATACTTGGTGGTAGGGATGAAATGAGGAGCTAAAACGGATCAGTTACAGAAACAGTCTTGATAACAATTGTTTTCTTCATCCAATCTGTAGAAACGCGGAAAGAGGAAGGCAAAAGGCAACTTCTACAGGAGATCGAACTCATGAAGGAAATTGGTTTTCACAAGAATTTGTTACCTATGCTGGGCTTTTGGGTCAAGTCAGAGCCCATTTATTTAATAGTGGAATATCTTCCACATGGGGATCTTCTTCGGTGGCTGAGAAGCCAAAGAAGTCAGGTGAGGCAAGGTGTACCGTGGCAACCCGATTTGCTCGAGATATCTTCCAGCTGTTGTTGGTATGAGATAGTGAAGGAATCTGGGTATGCAAACCTGTCTTCATAACGTCATAACGGTTTGACTAAAGCCCCCTGGGCGGGGAGGGTTTAATCGTTTGTCTCGTTTGCCTTTCCCCTTCCTATCTTTGCGTGGAGGGTCAGACCTTCTTCATACCCTTAAACTCTACATTTATGCAATGATAAAACTTTCAATGAAGTTTGGTGAGAGTTCTGCGACTGCGATTTGAATAGTAAAGTAACCTCATCGATATGGGTCAATTCTTCCGCTAAGTGCATTCATCAACAAACTCGTACAACGTACGCAGAATTAGACCAGAAATCTAGCGTCAATCTTAAAAATGTTTCGACAATTTATATTTTCTCATTCAGATTAGAGCTAGAAATGAGGCCACCTCGGATGTCTTCAAAGAATTACCTACAAGTTCGAAAACAGCTGAAAATGGACAAGGAATGGACGACTGTGAACTTCTAACAGACCACCCAGATTTAGTAAGAGGCGAGCACGATGTATTTAGTCTGGAAGAACGAGAGCCATTGACGATGGAGACAAAACATGGATATGAAACCACAAGAGGATTCATAGACAAACAAGCCATTCCGGTCCAAGAAAACACCATCAAAACAAATACCTGCGAACAGGGCACGGACGAGGAAAGAGAAGAACTGATTAGAAAGGAAATTGTGACAAAGGGTGATATTGGCGGTCCGTCGTGGAGTCTCATGAACAACGCTGTTCCACAACCAAGGCATACCTCAGGTCGTTCCGCCTCTGTTGTTAACTTGATAAAAACCACGACTACCTCGAAATGTGAGGACGAAAATGAGGAGCTATCAGCAAAGGACCTTCTTTGCTTTGCGTGGCAGGTTGCGGAAGGAATGGTGAGCATCCACAGGGTCTTAGAGGTTAAGAATACCTAGGCACTTCCGAGATGTCCCAGGTTTCAGTCCTTTTCAAAATGAGGGAAATTGCAAAGCCTTTGGTATGAAAATGATATTAGAGAGTTTAAGAAAACCACGACGGCAACGGGAACGCCACAAAAAACACAGAGTTTAATGAGCAGAACAAAGGCTGGGCACGAGCGTTTTAAGACTTTGTAAATTTCTTTGCGTCCTCTGCAAAACAACAACGTGAAATGACCAAACTTTGCGTTGTCTGGAGAAGGTGAACGACAGCTAATTTTTAAAATTTCTATTCCTAATTTAAGGCCGGGTTCCATATTCAGTTTCGAGAGAGTTTTGCTGGTGAGAAACAAACTAAATGGCATTAGAGTATCGCGAGATTCGTATGATTCGTAGGTAAAATATAAGTTCATTTTTAACCGACATTGTCCATGGCGTCGCCGTCGTCGTTTCTTAAACTCCCTACTTATATCCTCATGCAAATATAAACTCGTTGCACGAAACGGATTGGTAATTGGCCTCATTTTAAAATTGAGGGGTTCTGGAACTTGCAAATCGCCTATTCGAGAAGGCTAATTCTGTAGCCTTCTCGATTGGCAGTCAATGCCATACGAATTTCTGAACACACCAAGAATAGCATGTAGTAACTGAGATAAGCGTCACTTTCTGCATGCTGTTTTAGAAGAAACAGGTATACGATTGTATAGATGCGACATCATTTCTTATGATGAGGTATTGTTTTCATTTACAATAGCTCATTTAGTATATACAAAACAGCCACGTAGACAACAAAGTACTGTAAAGATGGCCTAACGCTGTTTCCTTGCTTCTAACAGCAATCACAAATCTCTAAAGGCAACATAACACAGATTGAGTGCCCTGTTACTATCTCAAGCACATCGCGTACTGAACAAATGAAGGAATATTAATTCAGATTTATCTCTAATATCATAATGTAAGAAAGTAGTGTCTCGAAAGATTCCAGATATTTTTTTTTAACTCAGTCTAGAAGACGGATTCTAAATATCACCTCGCGCAAGCGCGAAGTACACCTTGCGCATCACACCTTAACGCTTGTTTTCTGAGACAGAATGTTTTTTCTTTGTCATAGAATTACTTGGCCAGCAGAGGATTCGTTCATCGTGATCTGGCTGCCCGCAACATTCTTCTTGGAGAGGGCAGAGTAGTAAAGATTGCCGACTTTGGCCTACTACGTCACACCGCAAATGATATATACGAAATGAACAATACGAAGAAAGTACCTGTTAAATGGATGGCACCTGAGGTCATTTCAACCAATAAATTCACTTCCAAAAGCGATGTGTAAGTTCACAATATTTTTATACAGTGTTCATTTCCCAACCAGTAAATTGCTAATTGTTATCTATCTGTCTTTATTCGGTGCAACCTTCGATGTTTCGTTCAGAAAATTTTTCAATTTTTTCAGATGGTCATATGGAGTTTTTGTGTGGGAATTAGCAACAATGGGTAAGACAAAGCAAATGAATTTTGTTGGTGTTGTATTTGTTGTCATTGTGGTTTAACGCGGTACGACTCCTCTTTGGCTTTTATCTGACGTTGCTATTCAAGATTAAGGTTCTTAACCATTTATGCTTTATAAAATCACTCGAAAAAAAATACAAAACTTTCTGTGTTTTTATGTATTAATCGAGTGTCTCCAAGTCAAAACATTTCCTTTTTACCCCGTTATAGGAGACACCCCGTATCCTGGGGTTGACAACAAAGATTTGTTTGTTCTTCTCAAAATGGGACACCGTTTGGAGAAACCAAACATTTGTTCTGAAGAACTGTAAGTCGGCTTATTAAATCTTCGCAGACTGATAAGTGTTTTTCAATTTAAACAAACTATCGTGGTTTCAAATTCTCTAACAATATTTAAGAGTTACAGATTAGGAGGAGGTAGGTTGTGGGAACATTTCTGATGTAACTAAAAGCTTAAAACGAGAATGACATAAATATAGTCTACGAAAAGGCATAGAGAGTTAAAACATTCCACAATTAAGAGACACACCGCATCATTTTGATTTCGCCATATCTGGTGGGGAAGACAATAATCCTTGGAGAAGCAGACGGTTATCGTCAGATCCAAAAGCCTCATGTGCGAACCTTTTAGCAGAAATTATGGCTTGTTTTCTCCACATAACTCAAACAAAGCGGTGTTTTGAAACCCCTCCGGAAGGATAAGCGTTACATTATCTTAGGCAGAACGTCTCTTTGTTAACTATGGTCAGACTACTTCGACAAATGCGGTTCCAAGAAGCAATCAATATACCACTACATTACAATGAAACAGATTTGCTGAATAAAATAATATTCACTCAAGACCAATACAATTAATAGTGTACATCTTAATATCAATATATACCTTCTTAAAGGGAAATCACGTTTGCGAATCACAAACACTCTCTTTTTTTTACCCTATTTAGATATTCTTTCATGTCAGACTGTTGGAGAGACAATCCAGACGATCGACCGACATTTGAACAATTGATATCCACGCTTGAAGAAATGATGACAAGAGACACGCCTTACTTTGATCCAAACAAAATAACAACGATAGACAGTTAAGACTGCATATGGCTACTGGTATAGCACAATTTTGTGTAGCATTGAAAAGAACCAGGGGTTATATGATGATGAGGTAGCGTTGCAGAAGATTTGTCTCGCATGCAAAACAGAAAACCTGCCACACCCCACATACCTATGAGAGCCCTGTTCCACAAGAAAAAGACGATTCAAGAATATAGTGAATAATTGACACTCAACTACTAATGAAATGGTAACAAGTTATCATATTAATAATAAAATAATAATTATAATAATGATGATGATGATAACAAAAGTAATCGTAATAATAACTTATAGGGGCTAGGAGCTAGCTCAAGAACCTCACTGTTCCTCTGTCGATCTATCCCTAGGCTCTAATAATGATTAAATTAGCCTTCTTTTAATAATGATTTGCCTGTTGATTACAAATCATTTTCTCATTTCTTTGCAATTCCATTTTTGCGAGACTTTTTTTTTCATACAACAAGGCACTACGCGTTGTAGAATATTCCGTCATTCCACTACTTCATCATTCCATTGAATGGCATTACCCTTATGAACTCAACGTATCGTATTTCGGACTTTGCTGGCTTTTCAAATTTAGCTGCTGTTTTGAGTATTTGTCGCCGATTGAAATGATAGAATGATCTCTTTTCAAATAAATACAATTTTCTTATTCAAAGTTTCCACGATGTGCAGATCAAACCTATTTAGATATTTCTGCAAGATGAAATAAAGTAAATCACAGAAGTAAGATGAAGGCTTCAAACCTGAAGCAAGCTGTAGGCAATGATGTTCTTAAGTAATTCATTCGCCAAACATTGAAGTCCAACTTCTTCCGTTTTTGCCTGGTTATCTCTGTAGTCAGGGACCGCGCAGCAAGTTTTCGAGTGGGGGGGGGGGGGGGGGGGGGCTAAAGAAGAATGCGTGAAGGAAAATTTTTTTGTTAAATTATTTTTTGTTTAATTTATTTTTATTCTTGCAAAAAGTGGGGGGGCTAAAGCCCCCCCAGCCCCTCCCTCTGCGCGGTCCCTGTAGTGGAAGTCATGGGATCGGCCGCATTCCCCATCGCAATCTCCTTGGATGAAGCTTTTACAAACATGCCACAGCGCACGCTTTCCCTTTTGAAGTCGAAATGCAGCCGTTTGAAGGTATTCAAGGCACAGCCTCTTTCCGTCAAAGGCAAGAGGTATAAACAGTCACACAAGCTAACAAGTCATGGTGTGTACAAGGCGTATAACGTGTTTTAGTAAAGCTCAAAATAGAATGGTTAATCGACAGGTTACCCCAGCTTTTTCTTTTCCCTACGTTTGTTTCCTTTTACAGATTTCTACAAAAGTTTCAGTCTTCTTTCTCTTGTTTTGCAAGACAGCGGTTATTTATGATATGTTCCTTTGAAATTCTGCGCGAGATATTGGCGCACGGCCGGCCAGAATTGATCCGGTCGCGCATGCTCGACTTTTGAACGCTCTTGAACTCAGACCCCAAATGGATCGAAATGAATCGATAAACCTGCGTTTCAATCCTGAAAGGTTACTAGCTCAATTCTTTAACTACGAGGACAGATAGTGGGAAAAAGCGAGCAAGAACAGCTCCTTTTATTAACCAAATTGTTCAAAATATCAAAATGATAATCAATAGTTTTTTTGACATTACAAAAGCACGAAAACCAAGACGTGTGCCTGCAATCAAATAGTAGCAATTTCGACGATCTAAGTAAAACTATCAAGGTTAAACTTAAGGCTGTTCTCAAGAATCCAGCCACATCACATCATCTTTCATTTTGAGGTCCATGATGAAAGGTTTATGAAAGTGAAGAGTGTATTCCTTTTGAAAAATAATAAAATAAAACCGAATCCATAATTCTAGAGGTAACAATATACAGCGATTTGAAAATGAGGAAGCTCGAATTATTTATAATTACATTACATTTAGAAGTATTTTATCCTGAGTCCATGTATCTTGTTTCATTTCCTTTTCACACTAACAATAGTCCATTTTACAGTTGTGTGCTTGGTTGCCAAGCCTTTGAACAGGAATGAGGCTAAGGGCGGCCTTGTTATGATACAAACCTTGCTGCTTTTCAGATGCAAATTAATTTGTTATCATGCTAACTAGATACTGGTCTCTATCACACTAAGGTCACCTTCAGCCTCACTCCAAATCAAAGGCTTGGCAACTAAGCACACAACTGAAAAATGGCCTATTGATGCCGATTAGAACTAACCACCCACAACGGTTGTCATTGTTAGCCCATAAAACCCGTTTCTTTTCAGTCATTATATTAATTCTTTTAAAAATACTTAGATGATATTTTTCAAATTAAGTAAAGGATTTGAAGAAAACATCAGAGTCAAATTAATTGGAAACGACGTCAAAATTACCAAACATCGCCGAATTATACATGACAAATCGTTGCACGACCCCAAAAAAATTAACGAGGACACGTTGCGAAGAAGCTCATTATTTAAATTGAAGGAGCACAAAGCTGACTTAAACTTTATCTACAACATTAGTTCAATAACTGAGAAATTGTCGTTTTCCTGGTAAAAGTTCCTGGTGCTATTCCATCCAATTCGTTGTCCAGTGACTTTTCCTTCACAAAAGAACATATCCAACCCGTATCCTTTGCAATTATGTTGGGCACCTGTAGGTTCCCTTCGAGTGTTAGGAAAAAAAAAGATGAATGCAAGCCCGTCTGCCTTTTCAGCATACAGCGCATTGATCAAATGTACCCCCAATATTGACTGTTACATCTGAGTTGATACACTTTCCTTCATTTATTGAAGTGTTCTCGAAACCTTCCCTGGCTTGTTACATTCTGTACCCTGTGCTTTCAAAACTTAATTAAAAGAACTGTCGAACGTTCAGTCGGGGAGGGAGGGGTATCTCCCTGTTCGGTGCAAATTTGTGGTACACTTCTTTGACCATATTAGAAACTAGCCGTCTTGCCTGCCGAGCCAGTCTCGTGTTAAAGAATACCATTCGTGAGGTATTGGAAACCGTCGTAAAGTTTAGTAGTCAATGAGTGCATGCTAGTCTCAACTAATTCATTGATAAACGTGTCAAGCTGTTCTTCTGTTAGGTTCATATGAAATCTTTCTCTCATTGCGGGGACTGTGGACGAGCCTCGGTTAAAACATGGAAGCTGTGAACCTGAGTACAATAACACGAAATGCAGATCAGAATTTGATAATAGTCTGTACAAGGCCTCTCTCCCAACGTCCTCCCCGATGGCCTCAATAAGGTTTCCTCAACCTATGTGATGAGGAATACTACTTACTTAGCTCAGGCAGACAGAATATCACAAGGAGATTCAAAGCTCCTTCAAGACTTTTTCAAGACCACTCAGTATTATAATTTTATAGAGTGAGCCCAATGACATGACCTGAGCAGAATAGCAGACGCCAGGGGGTTGCCCCAAAATTGCAAATTAACTGACAATACAGGTAAAACGTTTTCGTAAAGGTAATTTGCATAAAATCAGTTTAGCCAACAAAGATCTCAAATTGGAATGAACCACTTCTCTTGCAAGAGAACCCCTTCTCCACAAGAGTTTAGACTACGAGCAGTCCCTGTTTTGTTGGGAACTCCGTCGCGCGAATCAAAACACTCAGCGAAAAAAAAAACAAAAAAACAATAGCATCATTGCTTTTCCTCCTGACTCGCGCGAAGGATCAATACTTTTCCCACGTCTTTAAAATTAGTTTTGATATTTCCGTACTCTTTCAAGAATTCAACACTCTATACGAACTCTGGTGCTAAGATTCTTATGAGAAAAGGGGCAAACCCAATCATGTACCTGTTTGCATAATCTCCACTATCTGAAGACATTTGTCCATGTTCTTTCGCGCGGCTAAGAAGCCCTGAAGCATCAGAATTTTGAAGTAGTTGTACATGTCGCTGTCAATTCCGCCCATAACCTTCAAATGGAACAGAAATCGTTTATTACTCAATACAATCTAGAACACAAAATAAAGATAACGAGAATGGGAAGGACAAAATGACGTTACCTCTACAAATTCGTGCGTGAGTTTAAAGGGGGAACTTTCGAAACCTAAGTTTCGAGGAGAACACGAAAGAATGAAGCCAAAGTCGATATGGATAATATGGCCTTCTCCGTCCAATAAAATGTTGCCATTGTGCCTAAAACATAAACAATATTCAGGTCATTTAATTTGCAAGAGACAGTTCTGTCTAGAAAGAGCCCAAATTGTAGCTATGGAAAAGATGCGTAGTTAAAGAAAGAACACCTCCAAATATGGTCCAAAAATACCTACAAAGTCTTAGAAATCTGGGATACTCAGCTCTAAAAGCTTTCATAAAAGCAAAGTTTTATCAGCCACACAAAACAAAAGCCAGTCGCCTGTGCATGTAGAACCCGCGCTCTGTTAGAGCACAACCCTGAAGTTACCGAAATATTCTAATTGGTTTATGATGAAGATTAACTACCTACAAGATTCTGAAAAATACCAAGATACAGCTTCTCAGATCGGATGTAAATCACCCCTAAGAGTAAGTTATTTGACCACTAAGGAAAAGCACATTATAGTTAACTGTTGAACCCGGGGGTGAGATGTGATCGTGTAGTCTGATCGTCGGGGTAAGTGTAGTTCTGAGAAGGACTGTTGTCGGTAGTAGTGACTAACGCTTGACAACCTGAGCGGAGGTTATCATCAGAGTCAAAAACATATTGTTATTACCTGTCCTTAACTTGCATGAAGTAACAGATCAAACAGTAAGCAGCACAGCTTTGGACAAAATTTCGCTGAGCGTTGAGGAACTCTTCCGAGTTCACTTCTCCGTGCTCCTAAAAACGGGGAATAAAAGTTCAATTGAAACATCTGCACAAACACTACAAATCAAATCTAAAGGGAATAAATCCGCATTCATACTCGTAAGTTGTCTTTGGTGAATCCCCCCCCCCCCCCCCACCACCACCAAAAAAAAAAAAATCTGACTGACGGAACACGAGAGCTCTTTCCTTCTAACAACTAAAGTGTCAGATTTTGAGTAAGGAGAGGCAAAAGTTGTCTGCAAGTGTAGATAACTTCGACACTTATCAAAAATAGATAGTAAACACCTATTTTTCTCAACAAGTACTCTTGCCTTGAAGGAAAACTTGCGATATACAGTTACCAAAAACCCCAGTTGGGGATAACTTTCAAAAGAAACCTTTACTGACGCTGTTCCTGTTGGCTAAATTTTAGAATTTAGAACTCTCAAACTTGACGTGATACTATGGTGAAAAACTTCTCTCCTCCTCGCTGAATTCGGATGCTTTTTTAAGGCCCAACGCACCATGCTAATACTTTGCGTTTCAATTTCATAAACAATTTTTTCAGCCATGATTTCTCATTCAAAGCATTTGCCTACAACAGACCATGTTTCAGTGGAATTGAATTGGATGAGCTGGATCAGAGAGACAATGGCGTCATTTTTCGACCAGTTTAAATGTTTAATGTGTGAACCCAAGATTCAACTTAAGACACCAGACTTCTTTAACCCTTCACTTCCATGAGAGACCAAGACAATACTAACAATACCTCCTAACAATACGAACACAATATCGAGCAGACGAGATGAAAATAAAGAAAAATATCAATTAAGGGATTATTAGGTGATCTAAACTAACAACAAAAGAACTGTATGAAAGACATTCAAAATAATTACTAATGGGTTCTTGGAGGTGAAAGGGTTAATTTCATAATTATGTGAGCCTGTGAGAATTAAGTACCTTGATGAAGTATTTCAAGAGTGACATCTGACTGTTTTTCTTGATCTGATGGAGTGACACGGCGTTCACTACAGGTTCAATAAGCCCACTGTCGCTCGAGGTCACCATAACAGCGTACCTAATATTGAAAAGATAAAGTATGTTAAAGATTTAACGCAATCCTTTGAAACATAACGTAACGTAGATGTTCCGTGACTTAACAAGGGCACAAAACATAGTCAACTGGGAAGTAGAGTCATCAGGTGCTGACTAGTTACGAGACACAACATCAACCCTTTACACCCTAACATCAGTATGCACATTCTCCATACCGTAATCTATACATTTCCTAAGTTGCTGACGAGGAGAATTTGTTTACCAAAAAAAAAGGTTCTTCAGTTGGTGATCATTTCCTTTATTCTCATAATCTCAAATAAATGATTCAGCAGTAGTACTGTGAGGAGAAATTAGATGTTGTAATGTTCTACTTACGGTCGAAGACGCAAGGGAACTCTTTCCTGTTTCCAAATGGCCTGCAGTAAGGAGACAAATTGCACTCTTATTGTGGGAAGTGAAGACTATTAATTTTGCAACTGAATTCTAACACTATTTGCAAGAGTTTAACTCTACACCCCAATTGCTCTGTTGTGTGAAGAGTTGGCAACAGTCTCAACAGTCTGTCACTGATATATTTCTGGGCCAGGCTGACTAAGTGATATCCTTCACCCCTTGGTAAATGCTGGAGACCCTCCATGCACCAAGAGATATATGTACAACTACTCGTTTCAGTAGTGTTCTTAGCTGCGAGGATCTCTTAATTTCATCTCTCCACCGCAGTGCAAATATATGAATTTTCATATATCTAAAAAGATACATTAATGCGACTTAAATACCTTTTGGAAACTCTACCCTTAAGATCCTCGGTAACTCGCAAAGAAACCCTCTCGGGGAGTCTAAAACACTCGTAACCATTGTGACATCCTTAGTTTTAACCCTTAACACCCTAACATCAGGTTGCATATTCTCCACACTGTTCTCCAAACATTTTCGTAGAAGCTGACTAGGAGAATTTGTTTAACAATCAAGAACTTCATTTGTTGGTGATCATTTCCTTTATTCTTGCGACCTTGATTTGTGATTTAAGGGAGATATTGCAAGGAGAATTTACATACTAATCACTCTTAGGGGTCCAAGGGATTTAAAAAGAGTTCACATTCACTGCAATCCTTTTCTAGTCACGTCCACCTAAACTGCAATGTTCACACGACGTGTGGCAACTGCATTTACTCTTCATACTAAAGATTGGGGCGGGGGAAGGGGGTACTAACCTTCGCTTGCATCATCAACAGAAACTCCAGTAAAAGATAATAAACGATACTGAAATAATTCCACGACGTCATAACGAGCGATAACGGTGTATAACAAACCTGGAATTGCAGCAACAGTTGATAGGCCAGAAGTTCTTGCCGAAGATCATCGCCACACTTTACGATCATCGGTAACAGTTGTGAACGTAACAGTCAAGAAAAATTTCTAAGAATTCGCACGCTTTATTTGAGTTAAAAAAAGAAAAAAGCTACCTCGTTTTTTAACGGTAATTTAAGTTTGCATCTTGAATTTCATTGTATTCTTGTTCATTTTTAAAGCCCTGTGATTATGAAGAAGTTCTGGTTTTTCTTGGAGGGCTCTTAGTATGTCATAGTTGTTTTATAAATTGTCCGAAAAACGTGAGGCATTTCAACCTGTTGGGTTCCTTCCATTTGGGGAGATACAGTGGTATTGCCAACTTGTCACCAAGAATTTCTCCATTTGTTACAATTGCAAAAATAAATTGCACTTCAAATCGCCGCTTAAATCACAAAAAACGTGAATGATATCACACATCTAAAATGGCGCACTCTGGAACATTGTGTTCCAAACGCACCCGTATCCACCGACATTAACCCTTTACACTAATGTTGTTCTCATGACAACTCCTACGGTATTTGTGCAACAATCAGGAGCTTCATAAATTGGCGATGATGCCCTGCATTCTCGTGAACTTTACATTTGATTGAAGGGAAATACTCTTATGAGAAATTAAAAGCCACTTAACCTTAGGGGTAAGGGTTAAAGAGGATATTCCAATTAGGCACGTGACCATAAGGCGATGCTTCTCGAATCCTTGCCTCTTTCTCTTCCCAAGGTTCCTTGAGGACAGCGGCTAAAATGAGACCAAAGCCGAATAAAACACATCAGCAAATGAAGAAAAAAGGATAAGCACAACAGAGCACTTTCAAATAACATGTCGACTTGTTACCTGAAGGATCTTCAGGGTCTCTCTTGAACAAGGCCTGAGGCGCACTGAGAGACTCTGAGAGTCTTCGTCTTATGTCCCCTGCAGCGACAAACGGGCCCTGCAAATGGCAACAGATACGTTAAATAAACTACCTTGAAGTCATTTTGCTGAGAGAGAACCTGCATTCGGATGCTCCCTGAAAAAGCTGTCATTTTTTCATAATGCGTGCGCTAACCGTGGGCAAAACTTTAGCGATGATACGCAATGCAATATTTACTCTTTAACTCTCAAGATCTGATCGCTAATTCTCCCCTTTGTTGCCAGATCAAGATAGCAGCTTTTACCTGATAAGTTTGAATATTCTCATTACCTGTTTGCTGGATACTGTATGAATATTATAGGGAGAAGTTTCATGTGAATCACTTCTGGGAGTTAAAGGGTTAAGGATTACCTAACTAACAAATATATTACATGTTACTGTGCGCCTGTTCAGTAAAAGATCACAGATGATGTTCAAAAGTGGCAGGAACAAAAAAGTGTCACTGATGTTCTTATCACATTTTGACGTTCTCTGTGATCTATTGTGTAAACAGACCCACGGCAAGATGGAATCTATTTGTTTTACATGATGACAAAGGAAAAAATTTCAACTCTTTAAACCCTAACATCAGTATGCATATTCTCCATACTGTTCTCTGTACATTCCAAAAGAGGCTGACAAGGAGAATTTGTGTAATAGTCAAGAGCTGCTTTAGTTGGTGATCATCTCCTATATTCTCATAACTTTCATTTCCTTTATTCTCGTGACCTTAATGTTTGATTCAGGGGTGATATTGTGATGAGAAATTTGATGCTAATCACGTTTAGGTGTCAAAGGGTTAATAAATAATCAAAAAGAGAAACTTACATCCTCTGAGTCTTGATTTGTTTTATCTTCTATCACAGTAGACCAGCATTCATCGTCAGAGTCACCACCAGATGATATCTATTGCACCAACAAAGAAAATGAAATTCTTGTTAAATTTTCACTCAGATAGTGAACACCACTTTGTGCCCTTTTTGAAACTTTCTATGCTTAATTTTCTGAACAGTTTTCTCTATGATTGAAGTAACAGGTGTGGGTATGTGTAACAGGTATAGCACTTATCATTTTATATGATCCTAAGACAGAAAGACCTTCAACATAAATGCAGTCAAATGCAATTTAAAAGACTGAGTTAACAACAAAGAACATCAGCATTCTCTAGAAGTTTACAGTTTTTGCATATGCGCATGCCTCAGAATTCCAAGTGCCATTTGATTAAGGCGTTCTTGCATGAACTTTCAGTGTTGTTTTGAGTGGGGGCTCACCGTCCAGGCAGTTTTCCCTACTCCTTCCCCCTCTCTTTTCAATTTTTATTCAGTTTGATGGGTGCCTGTTTCTCTTTCCTGCATGGAGGCTCATGGCTAGGTTGCCAGAATTTGCCAGCCATTGGAGCAGTCTCCATCTAGGCACTGGCTGCCAATAGTGGAAGCTCCCAAATGTCTCAGGCACTCAACCTCCACTTAGCGATGCAGTTGTTAATACAGGTTATCGAACTGAATTTATCAATTACTCACTGCAAACTGGGGAACTTCTGACCGGCAGTAAGTTGGCAAATGTTCTTCAGACCTACAGAAAAAAAATTGAAGAATATTAGTAATCAGGAATCGCGTGTGTGTGTTACTGGTGGTCAGCTGAAGTCAAAGTGACTCTGAAAGAAACACAGACAATTGTAACGAAAACAGTTGTAATAAACTATTAAAAAATGAATGTATCAGTCATATAGAGAAGCCATAGGAGATAACAACATTGTTAGTGATACTGGAGCTGACAGTGAAATAGTATGACATTGTTCTTGCTTTCCTAAAACAGTAGTGCACATAAAGTGTAAAATGATGATGATAATAGTAACTATTAACCTCTACATGTCCAAGGGGAAGTCCATTGCACATCCTCATTCCCAAAGGAATTATAATTATTATTTTTAATTAATTATTTATTTATGAGAAGGAAGAAAAAAAAAAGAAAAAAGAAATTTACGTTAACAATTACTTCATACACAGTACTTACACTAGACTCCAGGTTATTCTGCTTACAACATATTGAGTAGATAATGCAATTTTACAACACTCACTGATATAAACTACCCTTATTTACACCATCTATGTTACAAAGTAATTAGAATTGAGTGTTTGTTTACAATAGAATGTTTATAAATGAAGTACAAATGAATACAAATGAAGTACAGCACAATGTTATTATTGCTGAGTTACCTTGTTTGTCGTAATGTAGGTTGGAACTGTTTTGTTGGGAATGGATCATCTCCATTTCCTGAAGTACACAAAACCTCAACATATATCATGTATGGAGCCTGCAATGCAACAGACAGATTGTTAAGACACACACAGTGTCTTTAAATGATGATAGTAATACTACTACCACTACTACTAATAATGATAATAATAAACAGTTCTAAGGATACATTTCACAAGTCTCAATACATTTACAAATCTGTGAGATACAATTAATTCAAATCAATTAAAAACAAACATGGTGAATAATTATAAACATACATTAGTGAACAAAAATTGACAGCTTATGACTGTTTCCATGGTAATGATCCTTATGACAAAATCCCACCCAAGTAAGAAGCAATCAGAATGTTCTGATTTACCTCATAACAACCTTGCCATAAAATAATCAATCTTATAAGCACTGGTAGGAATCTGTTAGTATCCCACTCTACGATGGCTAACCTTATCTTTGGAGTTTAGAACCACTGCCGCAGTGTGTGGTATTCTGACAACATAATGATTTCCAATTCCACTGTGAACTGGTAAGCTCACTTTGGCTGGCAAGTTCAGATTTAAGAGTGATAACTCTGCATACAGTCTAGAGGCTACGGAAAGGGTCAGACAGGAAAGTAATCATGTCAGTAAAAACTTTACATACACTGTAGTTAACTCTCTATACTCTAACATCAGTATCCATATTCTCCACATTCTTCTCTATACATTTACTTTGGTAGTGACAAGGAGAATTTGTTTAACAATCAAAGCTTCTAACATTAGCGATCATTTCCTTTACTCTCATAATCCAGATCAACAACTCAACAGTATAACTGTTAGGAGAAATTACATGCTGGTCACTGTTAGTACTAAAGGGTTAAACAAACTCACTCTTAAGTTCTTTTGTTGGCAAAGACGTGAGCCTCTTTCCTACTGCAATCAATGCACTTATGAACTCTCTTTGAGCTACCAGCTTTGGGGACTGAAAAAAGGATAAAGGAAGAAGACAAATCATCAAATGGCTATTTCAACTGCAAACAAGTCATGCAAAAAAAAAGAAAAAAGAAAACAAGCATGATTGTATGAAATGATGTAAGAATACCAAGAGAGAATTCTAACCTGGCAGCCACAATCTGGAGTGCGATCTAGCTCAGAAAGAACAGGACTTGAGGCATTGGGAGATACTGCTGGTGAGTGTTTGGCACAGCGGCTATCAAATGCATGGCCATATCTCAGGTCTCCAGTTGGGGATTCATATTCATTTGACTGAAAAAAAAAAAGACAAGCTGTGAGACATCTGCAAATATGTAAACCTTTACACCCCAACCTCAGTATCCATATTTTCCATACTATTCTCTATTGCTTAGGGTTAGGTACTGAAAAGGAGAATTTCTTAAGCAATCAAAGCTTCTTAGGTTGACAATCATCTGTTATTTTTGTAATCTTCATGAATGATTTAGTTTAGCATTACTGTGAGGAGAAATTAGATGCTGGTCACTCTTAGGTCAATGTGAGTTCCTTGTGCAGTATTTTACGGATATGCAAAATTGTTTGCAATTTTTAGCAAAATTAATGTTTGCAATTTCTAAAGGGCAAAATTACTGAGCGCTGATTGGTTGAGAGAGAGGGCATTTTTTTCTTAATCGAGGGCATTTTTAGTAATCAAGAGAGGGCTGATTAAATGATTGAGCATTTAATATGGCTTGTAATGTCCTTGGTTTCAATCCTAAGCATGATGCTTCATGGAAACTGAGTTCACTGTAAATTCTCATCCTTACCAAAAGGTTTTTTTTTCAGATTTCCAATTTCCCTGTACCAACAAAATTCAACATTTCAAATTCCAATTCAACAGGTTGAAAACAGTGGACAACAATCCACCTTGTCAGGATGCCCATGCTAAAATTCAATCTCTTTAATTCATTTATTTATTCAATCATGCATTTTCATTGTCAAGTCTCCTCCTATTTATCACTAACTTGCATCAGACGACTAGAAGCTGTTATAGCAGCAGTTGCATCTGATTTTGATCTCTGGTGAGTTTTCTTTGGTGGAGTGGTAAATGTTGAGCCTGTGGCTCCTGGAGAAGCAGGTAAAGGTAAGGTGTGAGAACCAGCAGATCCAGATGGACTTAAGGGTGACCTGTCACAAGTAAAATAGATATTATATAAATACATGCATAGATTAATGAAAAATGTTAAATGCACTATAGAAAATGTTTCCTTTTTCAACATGCAATGAATTTCAATCACATACCAGCAAAATTTTGTATGAATGCATGGGACATTTTTCTTTCTTCTTCTTTTTTTTAAATTCTGCTTCAAAGTTAGGCAAGAACATTTATAAAAACTGTCCTTTGAAGCAGCAAAATATTCATCCCATCACAATTTTTCTTGGATAATTCCCTCAACATTCCTAACTTTAACTTTGTCAGTTAGGAACTATGAAATTACTCAACCAGAATTAAATCTACAGCTATAGAAGAGAATTTTATGAAATGCAGGTGTACCTTGGCCTGAGCTCATCCAAAATCATTTGTAGTAACTTGACACCTCTGGCATATTCTCTTGATGGTAGCCATCCATCAGCACAGTAAGCTTCCAACAGCCAAGAAGCCTGGAGAGTTTTTAAAAGCCATAAATTTACATGTAAAGCTTCACTCCATTGAGCATGAATTGTCAAGTTCTACTGTGAATTTACTAAAACCCATGCCACAGATTACCATAATTTATAGTCTAACCCATGAAGTGTTGTGTACAAAGCAATAAAACATAAATTTGTTTGTTGAGTACTAAGCCTTTCCCAATGATAATGCCAGTTACCTATCACCATTGAACTTTTAGACTTCCAACCAGTACTCTAGCATGCATTACATATTATAGGAATACATATTCAAAGATTCTTGAGCTGTATTCAGTTGCTGGTTGATTAGGATAATAATGGTAACCAAAGCTGTCTAAAAGAGCCTCTGCCGTAAAATTTACTTTCATTGGCAAAGTGTGTGCAGGGTTTGAATCACACATATTACACATAAAAAAATGCCCAAAAAAGGGGTTAATGTATTGTAAATAAGTGAACTGTTTAATTAATCTCACATACCTGTAGAGCAAAGGCAAAACTTCTTTTGCATCTCTCCACCAAATATCTATGAAGGGCCTCTGACACTTCTTCCACATGGATGTACATGTTACTAGAACACAAGATTTTAGCCAAGTAATTATAGAATATGCTGACTATAATACTGTTGTAAAAGGAAATGTATCGTAAGTTAATACAGCACATAAGCACATAATAAATTAATAAACAGCTCCTTGTCATCTTGTTGATCTAAGCATGAAAGTCAAAGGTAAGCAAGAGATTCACACAAAAAGGAAACTCAAATCCAAAACTCAAATTGAAAGAAATTTTTCGAACATTAATTCTCCACCATAAATTTTTGGCTATGCAATTAACCTTTGGGGAAATTTCAGTACCAAAAGACATCAATGAAATTTATTGGGTGATAACCATAAACTACACAAAACAGCAATAACTTACATTAGCTGAGGCAAATAGAAGTTCACATCTTCATCATCAAAGGTCTAGGAGAAAAAAACATACCCAATTATAAATTGTTTAAGAGATTGTGTATTGCTCTATCTTCACATGTGTGATATCAAGAAAAATGTAAATTCTAGTTAAAAATCATTCATCAAGGAGGAGGTGATTAGTGGTGATTGTTTACAAATCAAAGTCCTGAGACAGATTCATGTATCTACCACTTTCATGCACACTGAAGTCAGTAATTGTATTTGTGAACAAATATATAATTCAAATCTGTCAATACCAAAAAAAAAAGGATTTAAATCCAGATGCATGATTTTGTCTCTTTGGCTGCTGGGAGTTTAAGTCTACTTTCTTGTCATTCCAAGCTAACCAACTGGTGTGCTCAAAAAGCACTATCACTTGTGTGATACCTGACAGTATGTAATATTAAGCTATGTCTTCTTTATCTCATGAAGCTACACAATGTTACCAGAGGTTATCAATTGAGAATATATCAATTGGATGTTATAAAACCAAAATCAAAGTAATCGTGACTACTCAATAACCGCTCCAATTAGTCCAATATCAAAAGGAACCACAACAAACTCAAACTGAAGACATACAAACTGTTTCACTATGACTAAGCTGCAAATGGTTTAAGCTCTATATCTACTTTTCCAAGAGGTAAGAATTAAGTTTATGAAAAAATCACCAGCCTTGATGCAGCAAGAACCTAAGCAATCTTAGATTGCTTTTGACACCTAACTGAAAATTCACAATAAATCGCACCTCTGTATAATAAAATTAAATGGCTCTAGGAGTTATCAGGAATAAAGAGGGGCAGCTAAATCAGAAATCTGAAATTCACACAAATTAAAGGTGGTTCTGAATCAATATTACTTTATCAATCTCAGCTTAATATTATTAAGATATGCTCTAGATTCTACATTTAGTCTGTCATTTTCAAGTTAAAACAATTACTGCAGGACTAAAAAGGTTTTTTCCAAAAATTTTCCTATTTTGGAGTAAGAGTTTACAACAGGTCAAACTACTGGCATGGTGACTTACTCACAAAGGAGAGCATTATCATCGTTTGTACATGCAAGATAATAACAGTTAAATTACAGCAAAATTACAAACTGTGTCTGAATTGAGATATCAAAACAGGATTGTTGTAAATTATTGCAATCCATTTTGATCTCAGAATAACAATCCTCATAATACTCACAAATAGTTTGTTTCCAAGGTATGTAAGAACTCCAGGTTCTTTGGAATTGAATAAATATGCAATCGCTATTGACATGTCAAATAGCTTTGATTCAAACAGCCGCAATAACCAAGAACTCTTTGGTGGTGGAAGGCTAGAGTTTGAATCAGAGTTTGATTCAGCTAGGTCAAGTTTCAGTTGCTTTCGAAGATCTTTAGTCCTTTGTTGCATATCGCTTTCTGTCAATTGTGAGTCCATTTCCGTATGATACATATCACCATTAGGAAGAGGGAGCGTGTTACCCTCTTCATTTGGATTATTGTTCACAGGTATGTTTGTTTCACTAGATTGTGAGTCAGTTCCTACAACATCTTGCCAAGTCTTGAAAGGATTTGAGTTGGGAGAGGAAGGAATTGGTTGTGAAGTGCAACATGCTTCACTTTCTGTCATAACCGTTGTAATAAATTCTTCACCGCTGGGAAAAAAATCTTAGACAGGCCAATTCCGACGCTATATTGCGCTCCTGCAACATTTAGTGCACGGAATACAAAGTACTGTGTATAGATGGACTTAGGAGGTTTATTACCGCAAACCACGCACAACTTGCTTGGCTTCTATTTCAAAACTGGACCTTTGAACTTGTTGTTGCGAAAGGGAAACAAAATGAAAAATCACGTTTTCTCTATGAAGTTTATTTATCGTGTCACGATGGCACGAAAACGATGTATCGAAATTTTCAGAATTAAGATGACCAAAAAGCAGTGCACTGTAATTAATACAGACTCTCTTCTTCTCTTTCAGCCGAGCAGTGATGTTGTTAGTACCAGTTACGACGCCGAAAGTGTCAATACCAGACAAAAGAAATTCTTATGGTGTGAAGAATTTCAAGAGGAGCTACTAGTATCAAATCGGAAGTGAAGCTGATGTTGTGGTCGTCGTTGGAAAGGGCGGAATGGAATTCACTCACAGAAGTTACTATTCCTCCAGAATGTTCACAGCAACAGCGTTAACGAAGATCTAAGTCGATTCCTTTCACGTGCTAACAAAATGTTTCCTGATTGTCCAGGAAAGCACGACTTTTCCAATGGTTCAGTGAAGCGAATTGTACTTTTTAGTCAAATGACAGATTTTGATACGGTCCGTGTACTACTCACGATGTCTCCATACTCCGGTCATTCCCTTGTAAACCCTATCATCTCAGGCACAAATCACTGCAGAAGGAAACCGTATAGCTATTATCTCCTGTTGATATCCTAGCCACAGGGAAATAAATTCAACGATTTCTCCCTATACAACTCCGATGTGATGGTTATGGCAGGAAGAACAGCTGCCGCTGCAAATTACCCACAATGCTGAGCGAGGCCTGGCCATGTGAAGCCGTGGAGACCTGGATCCCACCAAGTTATAAAAACGAAAGTTTCGTTTTCAAAATTCCGTCTTTCATCGATAAAAACCTTTGGAAGTTTACCTATTACTAACAAATACACCATTAACGCCACTAGCCAATGCAGAATGAGGCCAGAATGTCTTATAACTTTGTGTTTTATTGGTAGGCAAGCTTTTTTGGCTTGTTACTTTTATATTGATATTTAAGAATACGAAAAGTACAAAAAATTATTCAAAGATGAATAGATCTTATGGTAAACTCCATCATGAATGCCACCAGAGATTTGCATTGTTTTCTTTTCATTTCGTGAAAAATGTTCGAGGATAGTCTTGATGCATTGCGGTCCTATGATTTCGTGCTTCGGACTCAATCCCACAACCCATTGCAATTCCAAGTCAAGCTTGCTTTTCACGTGTGCTTTTCTTTGGTTTCATTGTGGAGTTGTTGTTTTCGGGCCAAAAGAAGCGTTTTTCAGAGATTAAGAAGAGTTTCCTGGTCTGGCAGAAAGGCCCGGTATCTTGAGGGCGTCAAGACACACATGGCATCAACAGAAGAAGCGGTAAAAAGTGAGAATTCGTCCGCCCAACCAGGTAACCCATCGGAAACAGCGAAACCAGCTCAGCCCGTTGCCACAAATCCAGTGACATCTACTGGCGCTGTAAAGGTGATAAAAGTTTTCCAGTTTTTGTCTTATTTCTTTTTTTTTTGCTACTGCCCAAACTAAATTACATTCATACGTCTTGATTAGTTTGAAAAACTGTTCTGCACTTGGTTTAATGTCGACTTCGCGATAAGAACCAGTTACATTTATAGATTAATTTTCTGAATGATGCTAGGCGTAGAACATGATGCTTTGTTTTATTTTTTATTCTTTGCAGCTTAAGGCAATTAACGTTATGATTAGAAAGCCTAATTATTTCTGTTGGAAATCAATGATTAAAGGGATTATTTTGATGCATGGTTCAGTCGTTAGCTTAGATCGTCTCTGTAAGTTACATGCTCCTCATTGGAAACCACAAACTTGTCACGAACGGTATGATATGATGGTTGACAAGCAGTTTAACTCTATATTAAGTTACGATTTATCTTAACATAGTTAATTGTAACTAATACATTGGAATCACATAATCCCAGTACAAATGACTGTGCAGTTATATCCTGTGTGAGACTTGGTACCACAATTTTACAGTCGTCATTTCAGTGCCTTGTCACAATGTATGGAAATAGCTTAGTCTTCAAACCAACTATAACCCTGTCTGTAGCGTCAGGCAGATGCACACTCGATTTTTCCTTTGTTACCATACATTTCACACAGCAGAATTGCTTTTGTGCACAAATGATCTTGTAGAGTTCTGTACTCAGCAGACTGGACTAGAACTCAATCCAGTACATGAATCTGGTGCAAAGTACAGGAAGTTGTATGTTACCAAGTTTTTTATTGATTTATCAGAAGTGTTAAACCCACAATCTTTGGCAGAGTAGTACTATTTCTTGGTGAGACTGAATTGCCATATTGACTTTCCAAATTCCTTCTTTTTCCCCTTTCTCCTCCCCCCTTCATTGCAGTGTTGTTACATTTTAAACATGCTACATTTGACATCACAAAAAAATAGCAACCCTGTAATAGAAGGGGGGGGAATAGTAATGGATGTTCCACTTTTCAACAGTAGAAGGAAGAGTGTCCCAAACATATTGTCAAAGATTGTTGCTTGCATGCATTTGCTTTTGTGTCTCTGTACAATGTATATCATTGTATAAGACTTTGAATGGATCACTTTTTAACTTTTAATTGTGGCAATTTTGTGGTTTTAGAATTAAATTCTTCTTATTTTTCTGACTCTTTCACTCAGAAGCCAAACTATATACTGAAATACACCTTATCAGGACATACAAAGGCCATCTCATCTGTGAAATTCAGTCCAAATGGAGACTGGCTGGCAAGTTCGTGTAAGTTTTGATGATGACTACATCTGACTTTTCTTTGCAAGTGATGCTCTTATGGTGATGTTGACTTTCTCCACACATAGTTTGATATGAGCCCTTTGCTGTGAGGTCCAGCTCTTCAAAATTAGTTTAAGCAGTTTTTACCTTTTTCAACTTCTTAGTTATTAAATAAATAAACATTTCCTTAACCTTATTTTCATGTGAGTTGTTAAATTTGCCCACCAGGAGTGAGATAACATTGTACACACTGCTTTCCAAGACAGTGAAACACTGTAATTTGTTTCCTAAGATAAATTTCTATACTCTGTTATAAATATCTATCTCTCTATCACTTAGAGAGATAGATTCCAACATATTAATGATGTGAATGAAGATGTTAAATTTTAAGCCCAAGACACTCTTAGTTTCAAAATTAAAGGGCTATAATTACTGATTGTAAAATCTTTGAGACATGAACAACAACCATAATCCTTCTACATTATGTAAACTTTAGGTTTGATCATTTTGGTAACTTGCAAATTGCAATTGCTTATTGCATTGTCTTGTAATAAGATTTGATTTTAATGTTACAGCTGCAGACAAGTATATAAAAATATGGGGAGCTTATGATGGAAAATTTGAGAAAACAATCTCAGGACACAAACTGGTATGAGAAATTTGACTTGTTTGTGATATTATTTCTCTTTGACTGCCAATTCCTGGTAAATCTCCCTTCATTATGGGAAAGCTTGTGGTTGTCAATATAAAAGTTTTATTAAATCAGGGTGTTATAAAATAAGCTTATTCTGTGTTAATGATACATGTGTGTATTCTTCAAATTTAAATATTTTGTAATTAATTTACCATTTATATTCTTAATGGTATACGGTGTTTGTTTTCCTCTTGAAGCAAAACTGAAAGAAGGAACAAGCAGGCATCCTGGTATTTATTGTCTTTGTTTTTTTTCTCAGGGTATTTCAGATGTGTCTTGGTCTTCAGATTCAAAGCTACTTGTCTCCGCATCTGATGATAAAACACTAAAAATTTGGGATTTTGCCACTGTAAGTCATTGGCCATGTTCATAGCCAATAATTTGTAGCGATTTTGTGATTTCTTTGATTTAACTTCACACGAGCTTGGTGCGCATTTTTTTAAAATGCATAGTTGTTTGTAGTAAATTTATTAGTGTATTTATGGTGACTGTTTAACTCCCTTAAGCATCCAAAACAGAATTTCTTTTTACAATATCAACACATTATCAAGTAGACTAGTAACACAAGAATGAAGAAAAATGTAATTTAAGGGATTATTGGTTAATCCAATACCAAATTCTCCAAACTAACATTATGAGAGTTGTATGGTTGGCAGTAAGGAGAATTATTAATCAGATCTTGGTTTTCTCATTCTAGGGGAAGTGTCTGAAGACACTCAAAGGACACAGTAACTATGTGTTTTGTTGTAATTTCAACCCTCAATCTAACCTCATTGTGTCTGGATCGGTGAGTACCATAACTGTTATTCCAGGTCTGAAATTAATTGTCTTGCTTGTTCATTTTTTTTTGTATGAAAACTTCACTTTTATCAAGCATTGTTAACAGCAATGCAACATGAATTGTTATTCATTTCACATTTATGAACAGGGAAGTTCTATATTAGTAAATTAATTCTGATTGGCTAGTCATGCCCTCCAACTCGAGGAAATCCTCATTAAGCAAGTGCTTTTAGGTTATAAACTCCTTGAAGAATTTGTTCCAAATTTCTCAGCCTAATCTTTCTTCAGTTTGATGAGAGTGTACGTATTTGGGATGTCAAGACAGGAAAGTGCTTGAAGACATTACCAGCTCATTCAGACCCTGTGACAGCAGTAAGAACGTTTTTTTTTAATTTGATAAGTGCAAGTTTATATTGCAGTAGCATTAAAATTCTTATGCTGTATTGATCATGGAATTCAAAGTATGTTTCCCTTTACAACTCCACTTTTTTAATGAAATATGATTCCTCTCTTCCGTTACTGTCAGTAGCAGTTAGCTACATTATAGTTCACTTGAATTTTCACAGCCTGATCCCTGTTAAATCAAGGCTAGTAATTCTGGTTCATGTAATGATTTATTCATCTAAGTTCAAGTTAAGATAGCAGTAGCATTATACTCCTTACACTGTATTGATTTTCCCAGCCTATGCCCCATTAAGTTAAGGCTGGTAATTCTGGTTCATGTCATGATTCATTTATTTTGCCTGTTTGCTCCTTTTGGTCAGGTATGTTGATACCATTAACAAGTGTTCTATATACTACAGAATGGTGAACTTAAGTTGATGTTTATTCATTAAGATATATTTTTGTGACTTTTCATGAACAGGTTCATTTCAATAGGGATGGTGCTTTGATTGTGTCAAGCAGTTATGATGGCCTCTGGTGAGTTTAAAATGTTGCTTTTCTGATATTCTTTTGATATTACCTGCATGATACAGTTTTGATTTGAATTTTTTATCTGTTTTGTTTTGTTGAAGATCATTTGTCTCTTAAAAGTGTCTCTTATTAAATTCTTCACTGCTCATCAACACAAGTTCTTCTATTCATTCCAAGGGTCAACTACTTTACACTTTGGGATCGTGCCTTTGTTCATGCTGCTCCTGTTTTAAGGAACTTGTTACTGTTTTCAATTAGAACATGTAGCACCCTTGCCACTTTAATAAAACAACTTTCTTTTTGGGAAAGCTCTCTGTAGAAGCTTGTAGTCCTTATGTAAAGTGCCTATGAATGTGTTTGTAGTTTTAGCACTATGGTCATTACTATTATTATTATTTACATGTAGTTTGACTGTTTTTTTCTTCAGTCGTATTTGGGATACAGCTTCAGGGCAGTGCCTTAAAACTCTAATAGGTAAGTGAAACTGAGTTGTTTATTATTATTATTATTATTGTTATTGTTATTATTATTATTATTTGAAATGTACATAATTAAAATATTGATAGTGATTCCATCGCTGACTTATGAAATGTTGGATCTTTTCTTA